TAGAGATGCAAATAAACTTTGGCCCTCAGACTTCTGGCAAGTTACAAACACAGTCCCTGGTGTTATGAGGTGTCTCCTGCTGCACACAACGGGTGCAAGCCTTCAGACCCTTCCCAAACTAAGATTCTTGCTGAAGGCAGGGACAAATTTGACTCTGTAAAGGACACAGAACCAGGACAAAAACAGTGTACCTGCTTTTCTAAGTGACCATTGCACAAGGCTGGCGGACGGAAGGTTGCTAAATCCCGGAAGGCACTGACAGGTGACTAGATTCCAAAAAGAGAGGAAACTCCACCTTAGGAAGCCATTACTGCTTGTTGCAGACAAGGCTGTTAGGAATACAGGTAATGAAGGATTAGTACTGGAGAGACAGGAAAGAAGTAATCTTAAAAATATTTTTTTAATTCTTTTTGTGCCCAAGCAAGGCACAAATGTAGTGCACATACACGGTTACTTTCTCACACACCTGCAAAATCTCTTAGAAGAAATAAATAAAAAATTTGGAGTACAGCAGAGTAAGTACATATTCTGAAGGAGCTGGGATTTTTTCCTTGTACACAGTAGTCTAACAAAATAAAAGACTGCCGCTTTTAACCAATACCCTACTTACAGCAATAATATGTAAAATCCAAGTGTCCTTCTGAACCTAGCTTCTTTTTTCTTTCCTATGTAACTAAAAACAAAGTGATTTGTGCTTGTAACAACCATTTATAACATCTTTAAAAATACATTTTAATGCCTTTGGCTTTTCATCATTATTTTGAGCAGCTTAAGTCAACTGGGAACAAGATTCGTGGTTCTCTTCTCGTGTTGTAAGAACACAACAAATCAAGTTCTCATAGCAGCAGTCTACCCTACCAAAAGGGGCAGCCTTAATATAAAGGAGAAGAGAAACATTCCATATCCATAATTAGATAAATAATACTTCAGGCAAGATATGGCACCTTTAAAAGTGCCTTTTCAGTCTTGGATTTTTCTCTGCTTGTTACTACAGAAACCATCTAGCAACCAGAAGCTAAGACGGACTCCACCCAAAACAGAGACAAACAACATAGACAGAATAGGCTTTTCCTCCTCTCCCCCCCTCCTTTGCCCTCCCCCCCCCCCCTTTTTTTTTTTTGAAAGGGTGGGTGAGTGCTAAGGAAAAGTATCTTACTGTGCAAAGGATAGGAGCATTTTGCATGCAGTTGAAACAGTAAAGCTCTGATTACAGATGGCAGAAATGAAAGCAGGGAATGAGTAATGAGCAATGAGAAATGCGTAATGCGGGATGAGGATATAATTTCCACACATCGGCTAAAGAAAGGTTTACACTCTTAAGCAATAAAAACAAACCATTAAGCCAGACCTGCACTGTCAGGAAGTATAAAACAGTTCTTGAAACTCTGCAGTTACTATACAAAAGCTTTTCATAAACTTTTGTTTCCTGATCTTCATAAAACATTAACATCAAGCTGCCATATGGCAATTAGCTGCCTCCTGAAATCAATAAAAAAACCCCAAAAATCAACAATTTAGGAATAGCTGTACAATAAAATAGTTCAATAATTATCCTCTTCTAATAGTGTAGCAAAGTGGGTCTAATATAAATGCAGTCCAGATGAGCTCCTTCTTCAAAGCTGAGAGTACAATAAATCATGTTCCTCTCCAAGCCTCATCAGTACTGATTGCACAAGTGAAACCTCTAACTGCCTAGCAGGGGGGAAAGCAGGTGATAGTCTGTGGACACCCAAACCCAATTATCATATGAGCAGGAAAGGTCTCAATGCCTGATTATGATGAGCCCAGGTGAGCACAGCGGAGCAGATCCTGCTCGGTGAAAATGGCCAGTGCTCTCGGGAGAGCTTACCTCAACTGAAGATCTTCCCACGTCATTTTTACATGTTGCTGACCACAGAAGTCCAACTGAATTTTGCGCAAAAATTATCAAGCCACTCGACAAAGCTGTTACTGAGTCTCAAAAGGACAAGGAGAGATGCTGATCACATTTGTGTTTAGAGAGATGCTTATCTGAAATGCACAAAGGGTGACATTATCTATCACAATCTCTGCCTATATAGATTATATAAGTGCCTACAAGCAACATGTTTAGGGGAAACAGGCTATAGGGTAACAAAGGCAGTTTTGCCTTCCATATCTTCTGCTTTTTCTCCTCTTAAGAGGGGAAAAAAAAGGCTCATTTCTTGTAGAGCACTATAACACTAATAAGTACTAAAGAACTAAAGTACTGGAGTACTGTGGTAACAGCATACCTTTAGTATTTAGGATTATGTAGCAGTCATTACCAGACTTAGTAGATGTCAGAAAGCCCAAATCTTTCAGAAGGACTGTCTGATCATCAACCCTATTTAGCAGATTTCAGGAACCCAACTGATCTCTGGGAGAATTTTCCACTACTCATGTATGAAAGTCTGTTTTGTTTGTTTTTTGTGTTTTTTTAATCCTAAACAAACTATTCAGTGCAGCACTCTCACATCTCCAATCTGGAGAGAGAAGTCAAGAGTTAAGGGTTTAAAGATACATTACGAAACCAATTCTGCAGAAATTTATTGACATGCTGAGCTTGACACATGCATATTTCCTCCTCAAAATCCGTATGGAACTGATGATTCTGTGACTAACACTAAGCAGGTATAGAAATGCTTACAAGAGTGGGTCTTAATAGGTTTACAATTATATATTGGTCTCTCAGCGTATTTTACTAAGGATGCAATTCTTTGTCAAGCAACAGGAGGTTTGCCTTTACAAGGAATGCGGCATCACGCCATGAGCCAGCTACTGCTCATGCATAGACAAGCACCGTAGCCAATTTTTTGGAAACAAGATTAGCATCAACGTGTTCTCGTGCCTTAGAGGAGAAGTAAAGCAGTCACCACTCCGTAAAAAGCCTCCCTCAATCTAGTTACACACGAAGGGCTAGGAGCTGTGAACCTTAAGCCTTGCAACTCTGGAGCTTAGGCTCTGCTCAGAAGTGCCATGGGGTCTTTACTGATTTTGGCAGGTTGGGGATCATACCTTTCCTGCTCACAGAAACGGTGCAATCTTCAATTTTTCAGCACTTTATGTCCAGTTTTTGCAAGCTCAGGTTATAGAATACGCTAGCGCTGCTGTGCCTTGACTAGCGCAACCATGCATCGCAAACAATCAATGAATTCTTGAAGAACCTTTACTGTGGCATATCCTGCGACTGACAACCTTGCCAAAGCAACAGCCATAAATGCACCCATCGCCAGTAAAGCTGGCAACAAGCAAAAGGCAAACTAAACTTCTGCACATATGACGCTCCCCCCTAAAAATAATGAGCCAACAAAACAGCACCGGTCCTTTGAAAAAGCAAATAGAGGTTGTCCACCCAGCGAACTCACAGGCTACTGTGTAGTATCAGCATGACCAATAACATCAGCTACCTCTCAAAAATCAGCACAGCCAAACGGCAGAGTGGTGGACTGTTCTCTACTAGCTATTAAAAATACTGCTGGTACAAAGAAATATGTAAGTTTTTATCTCGCCACAGAAACTCACACCTAGCCTAAGATATTTTTAGGCTCATAAGAGAAAAATGAAAGCTGCTTTTTCTCTCCTGTCCTCTGTACCCATTGCTTTTTGTCATGATTAGCAGTAGAGAACCGTTCTGTAAGAAGACCTGCAAGACATCATCAAGTTACCCTTTCTGATCAACAAACCTATTTAGTACCTTCGCTGTAACCCCGATGATTCTGGTAAAAAAGGAGGAGTTTGGGGAGGGCTATGAGAAAGAGGAGGTTTCTGATAATAAAGAGTTAGGCTAATAGGAGGCCCAAATCAGAGATTCCCAGAGTTGACTTAGAGAGGTCTCTAGTGGGCCAACTGTACACATGGCTTTAGGAAATGCTGCCTCAGTTCACCAAATCCAGAAATGGATCCACCACACAGCGCAAGGGGGTTCTGACACCTCTGGAGGTATCAGCACAGAGTCATTATATATCCACTAAAGACACTGGAGAGCTCCTGAAATAGGCAGGAACTTACCACTAGCAGTCTAACACAATTTCATTCCGTTCCCGGCTTCAGTGCACTTCGCAGTGGATCACCAAGAAGCCAATTTAAGCTACTTGCCCACTCTACTATTTCAGCACAATTTTCACGCAACAAGCAACCCAGCCTCTGCATGCTCATCCCATGTTGTACAGCTAGCAACCTGACTGCCATACCACAGGCACAATTAAGTACTAGTTTTAATGCTGTGTTTGCCAATTGCAAATCATGCTTTTGCCCCTTACATGAAGGATTTAAAAAGTAAGAAGATGTAAGCACAAGTTATCCTTGTGATGACTGCACAAGTGAACCATTTTTTCTTACAGACTGGACTTCTGAGAAAGAAATATCAGAGTTCTGTGATTTATTATCTGAAACAGATTTAAACATTTGGGGGGAAGGAGAGGAGCAGCTTTCAAACATAAAACCCTGGAAAGGAAGATAAGCTAATCTGCAAAGCAGCAAAACCATCAGCTGAGGTTAGATGGGAGGCTGCATATGACAACAGCTTGCTGTATGTAGGGCAAAAATTGAAGATTCATTTCACTATAACACTCCACAGAAGTGAGCTCTCATCTGAGGTGAGGAAGTATGCAATGCTTTTCCAACTGTTAAAGACATGGGCCGGTACAAATAAGATAATTATTCCTCTTTAGCGTACATAATCACAAAAAAAAAAGGATGACATTTTAGTTTTTATTATTTTATATTTGGCCAGGACTTTTAAAGGAAGGACTTTTAAAGGAAACATCAAACATTCACTTTTCTGTAGGTCTAGAAAGGATTCAGTCTTCCCCCACCCCCACCTCCCGTAGGATTTCTATTGGCCCTTCTTATATTCACACTGCAAATTAGTTGGGAATAGCAGTATTTATACTAGATCAGCAACGTCTGGTTCTTATCCAAATGTTCCACCTAAAGAGGATGCCAGTTCTCATGGATTGGACAGCCCACCCTGCAGCATTCCTGAGAATTGTACAATATAATAATCTTGAAAGTCAGCAGAGTGGATTATCCACTTTTTTCTGGACTTGAACTTGTGACCTTAACAGTAGCACAGCAGAAAGCAAATGTGCTATGCACTTTGCCATAGTAACCTTCCATGTATTCTTTTCAGCTTAAATACACACAATTGAAACAGCTACAATTTTGGAAAATTATGTACAAACCCTATATTTTTTTCTTTTTGATTACATATAAATACAAATTAGCTATTCTTCTAAAAAGTGGTTATAATAGTAAATAAATACAAAATAAGAATCTGACCATTATACTTCATGTGCTGGGGTTAAACCCATATAAAATGTACAACTAAAATACATTTAAAATCTTTAAAGGAATATTTCTCTGATTAAAATATTTGTTTTCCCAACTTTTTCGTAGACATAAATATATTTTCAAAATAGTTGTGTTTTTTTTTCTTTCCATTTCATTACATAAATAAAGTCTTCATTGGGAAATATTAAAGTGTCAGCTTTTTTTTTTTTTTGTATTTGTCTAATATATTTGCTGTGTTAGCGGCACCCACAACCCTCCACAACCATATCTTGATAGTTCTTTAATACAACTTTTTCATTCTCATCAAGGTAGAGCATGGAAATAGCACTCAGTTCTGTCGGCACACAGCAAGCCTTGGGGATTTTGGAATTCACTGAATTGACCAAAGTCTGAACAATGGCATGGTTTGTTGAGTTTAGATGATCTGCCAGTGGAAAAGGACATTCCCCGTGGCAGTAAAAGGCACTATACCCCGGTGGGGCAACAATCCAGTCATTCCACCCTACATCATTGAAGTCCACATATAACGGATGCCTTTTGCAACTGTATTTGTGGCGTTTACGCTGTTTGTGTTTCGCTTGACGCTTTTCTCTTTTATGAAGCGGGTGTCCCTTGCCATCATGCCCAAACGTTACTAATAATGGCCTGAGCTGAGACCAGCTATCTTCATCCTGATGTAAAGACCTGCTAATCCTAACGTGCCTCTTGGAGGCACTGTTCTCTTTGTCCAAGTGAACCACCTCTACCACAAACCCATGATTAGGTTGTCCATGTGCAATCCACCTCAAAACAGCTGGCGTTACATCAAAACTTTCCCATTTACTTGCATTATGATGCACCAACCTGGTGTCCAAAAGTCTTGTGACAGGGTCCTTAGAGGTGGCTGTGGCTGGCTTTATAATTTCATAAATATTAATACGGTGATGGTAGCTGCTGTTGTTCTCAAAGCCTCCGTGCACCTGTTTCCGGAAAATCTGGAGTTCAGCTGAGGTGATAGACTCCTCATTAGGGATGGAAGTTAAATTAAAGAAGAAACGTCGTGCTGTTTTCCCACTTGTTTCTGGCAGTTCTTCCAAAACTTCTAATTTGATTAAACAGGGAAAATAAAAAAAAAAGAAAGAAAGAAAATAATCAGTAACTGAGACAAGCAACCAAACCCCTCAGATAGTCTGCTGCTGGCAACTTTCAAATGACAGCGCATGTGACATACAAGATCTGAAAGACTTTCAGGCAGAAAATACCATCTCCCTTGTCTGTTTATTTATGCAAGCACGTATAGCATGAAGTTAAGAATGCTTCATTCATTGTTACGCATTTTGATTGAATACCGGTGCCCTTTGCATTCCAGGCGGTTAAAATAAGTGGCAAGAAACACGCAGCATTACTTTGGAATTCCAGGACATTAGTGAGAAAACTCAAGCGCTATAGTTAGTGGGGGTCTGATGAGAATCACTAAAACTGCTTGAGGACTTAGGGTAACTATTGCATTTCTGCTTTTTTCAAGAATATGGCTCTAACATCAATCCCTTAAACTCCATTCCGAAAAATATTACTCCGTAATTTAGGCGACTTACAAATCTTAACGTACGGATTTTTGTATCTTGATTAGAGACGGTGACCTCAACATCTGTAAGGGCACTTTACGAAGCACGCCCTAGTATTCACCCAAAAGGGCCATAAAGAACAGCGGGAAGGTTCAACCGCTAAAAAGGGGTGGATGGTAAAGGGATAACGAAACAAAGTCGCTTCTGAACAACAGATTTTCAAAACCACCGAAAAAAAAAAAAGGTCACTAAACCCCATGCCGTTCTCACCTTTGAGTCAACAAATAATTGAACGGAGCTTCAGAGGGAGTAAAATCTAGGGTTGCTAAGAAGTATGAGTTGCTACAGACATTGAAGAATTTAAAAGTATTTGCCAAACCAAATCTCTCTCAAATAATGGTTTTTAATTTTGGTACTAAGCATCCGGGAGAAACATTCACTTTCTAAGGGGAAGCCATAACTGCTGTTAGCAGTTCTTAGTCACATAACCATTCCCTGTTGATCCCCATACGGCTTTTTGCATAAGGTAAGGCTCAGCTTTAGGGTATTTCAGGACCAGACCAATATTTGTAAATACGCAGATGTTGTTTTCAGTGGTCACAAGACAAACTTCTGCTTTCATGAAGCCACTAATAGTGGCTAAGAGTGAGAACTCAGTGAAAAAGTGGAGTCACATTGATTTTCTTCTAAATTTTGTGAAAGTTATAGAATAGCTTTTATGTCAAAAACAGTCTTTGCTGTAACAGTATGACTACTTGAAACTGCAGATTTTTACATTTGCCTAGAAATTACAAACTTTGCCCTTTCAGCTCCTCTCTTGCTCAGCTCCTTGCCTACCATGCTCAGGTTTAACATGAATGACCCATGCACTGGCTTTTCCCCATTCGCTGCTAGGTGTTTACTTTCCACACAGGGAAATGCAGACGATAAGAGGTTACATTTCATCATTCATCTCCTTTCTCACGATAAGGCTTTCCACTAAACAGCACAACCACTTCTCCGAGGCCACCTCCTTTATCCATCAGAAACATTAAATACTCATGAATTTCTTTTCTCAACACAGTTTCGCATTAAAGGCATGGGAAAACTGCATTTTCATTACTTCTACAGCGGGGCCACTGCATGCCAGCTCCGGAGACTAGCAGCCAGGAATGATTACAACCTGGGGAAACGCTTCCCAAAGAGCACGCGAGTGACACGTGCACCACCGGCTCCACGGGCCTACCTGTGCCACGGCTAACTCTGCAGTGACTATTTTGGCTACATAAGCCGGGAAACGCACCCAGTTGTTCAGCAATGGCCTGTCCCAGAGGGTTCACTGCCTCGGTGGGCCACAGGCGAGGAGGGGCGGAGGTGCTGCTGGACACCCCGCTCTGCATTTGGCTGGGCTACCTGCAGGTGAGAGCCGAAACCTGGCCACAGGGCTTTTACCAGCCTGGGCGCTGGTGGCTGGGGAGGCGTAGCGTGGGTCCGGGCTAAATTGCTCCTCGACGGCGCGGCGAGGGAGCGCTTGAGGAGAGGCCACGATTGATCGTTTCATTGATCTCTCACGGGGATTAGATAAGGATTAGAAACCTCCGCAGCAGCCCCGGCTCAGCCGCGCATTAGGGAGGCTTTCCTGCTCTTCAGCCTCGCAAAAGAAAAGCTATCTGTGGGAACGCTTAATGCGGAGCCGCTCTGTTTTAGCAGAAAAAGTAAATAAACCAGGAGCCTCTCGTCAGATGGAGGGGGGAGGA